CTTGACTCACTAGCTATTAAAATATGGTTTGTGTTTTTGACCACCCAAGACTGTTGGAAGTCCCTTATTAAAGGCCTCTAGGCTTCCACTTTCATCCTACTTTTGTGTGCACATGCTTTATGCATCACTCATAGGACAAGTCTTATGTGGTGGTAACATTTAGGTGGCTCTCCCTGCCTCCAATGTTCTCCTTCCACTGTATTCTATTATCTTCCAGTTTCATCCCATGAATGTGCTCCTAATCTCTCCCACAGAGAACTTTCTTAGGTTTTATTTATTCTTTTCATGGGTCATCTTGACTGTGTATTTTTTTATCCATACAGTCATACTATAAACTTCTTTTGGCAGTAATGGGTATCTTACTTATCTTTGTATATTGTTATATTGTATAAATTGTATTTGTTGCAATGTAGCCTAAGAGTTTAGGCTTCAGAGGAACTGGAAAGGAGGGTATAAGGAATTATATCCTCTCAATGTGAAGAGGGAAGACGTTTCTCTTTTATGGCTACGCCCCAGGTCCTTCTGTGGTGTGCAAAAGGGGATATGAGCTCACTTTCTGTCATGGCCTGCTGCACCCATTTTGTTTGTGTTGCTCCCTGCATTACATATTTCCTATTGAGATTTTGATGGGAGCTCCTTCATATGTTTTAAAACATTCTGGATCTTCCTTTGCATTGCTTATTCCAAAGTCTCACTATATGATCTATCAAGCCAAAAAAAAAAAAAATAGAAACCTTCTGTTGTCAGTGTTTGTTTTTTTTTTTATGAAAGAATAATATTCTTTTAATAAGTAGTAACACTAATTAGTGTTGTGAGCAGATGGCTTTCCTCTTTCTTCCTGTTCAAAGCAGATGATGGGTTATGCTTCAGTTCTTCGTATGTCCTGCTCTCTGTGACATCAATCTGCAGTGAGTAAGTGGAATGTGTGTGTTCACCAAGATGTAAATATAAAAGTTTTCCATGACCTTTTCCTTTTTACTAATATGTATTCAGTATATGTATATATAAATGTAGGTTTATGTATGTCTGTAACATAATATACATACACCTATACACCTTAAGTTTAAAATGAACATTTTTGCACATTAAAATGTTTTCTGATACTAGCCTGCTTTTTATGTTGATTCATATATTTAATGTGTTTCTTCCTCTGAAAAGCTATTATTAACTGATGGTGTGTTTCACAATTGATGCCTTCTTAAGAACATCTAAATAGATCACTTATATAAGGGAAAGGCCAGTTGAAATAAAATCACCATAGTTTGTAATGGGAAATAAGCCTCTTGCCAGAGTTAAGCACCCACATATGGTTGCTCTTCGCTGAGATCTCTGAGTAGAGGGTGTTGTGTAGTGAATGTTCCACGTCGATCTGGTGTTAACACGACATGGCAAGTATTCCTGGGACTACTGTAATTCCAACAACACAGTCTTCCCCTGCCTAACATCACAGTAATCTTTGTTGGCGTTAAAGCTGTTTCATCTCTGGCAGAGTAACATTCAGTGGATGGATTAGGAGTCTTATCTCGCTAAGACCAGCAACATCAGGAGTCAATAGATGAGTGACTTCTGCAGACAGTACCTGCAGGAGAAGCACGCTTTCCCCAGAGTTTCCAGGGATGATCCCAACACTGCAGATGGCATAAATGGGGAAGGGGAGTGTGATTTTTCTGAGAGTTTTTCAAGCATGGACTAGGTCCCAGGCCATGAACAACTTAAGTTCAGCTGTTTTTTGTTTTAAAGCAATAGAAGGAAAACAAACATTTTGTTCCTTCCTTTTTCAGGTATAAAAACTGATGCAGAATGTAGACTCTGCTGAAAACACCTATATGAACCATGCCATGCTGCCAATTTATTTTTCATAAATGATTTTCACTCTCCTCTAATACAGTGTGTATATTTTAATCACCTGAAAGTAGGTGAAAGTGTTAGTTGCCCAGTCATGTCTGACTCTTTGCAACCCCATGGACTGGCTGTAGCCCGCCAGGCTCCTCTGTCCGTGGAATTCTCTAGGCAATAATACTGAGGTAGGTAGCCATTCCATTCTCCAGTGGATCTTCTTGACCCAGGGATCGAACCCAGGCTCCTGTATTGCAGGCAGATTCTTAACCATCTGAACCACTAAGGAATCATAGAGATTTTTTTTTTTCTTCTGCAATAGCATTCTTTTCCCTTTAAAAATGATAACTTGGCAAGGAAGAACTTTTCTTTTCTAGCTTCAGTGTCCTCATCTGAAAAATGGAAAAACAATAGTTCATATTTCAAAGGTTGTTATGGAGAGTGGATTATATAATATGAGCAAGCTACTTGTCCTGGTCTATAGCAAGATTTCAGTAAATAATACACAATAAGTGCATGAACATACTTTTTACACTTACACATTTTTAGATGCTTTCATAACTTGTATGTCTATCTCTCCCTGGTGAGCAAAGCATGCAGACATGTGCCAGTGAAAACTGGGCTTCAGTCTTTTTATTCTAGTCCATGTATCCCTACTCTTGGCAGATGTCTCCCCTGATTCTGTCTGTAAGAAGCTTATTTCTCAGTACTCAGAGATTATAGACTGTCCACATCGGCTCCAAGGAGGGTTGGTTTCAACAAAGTTCTGACAGTGAGATGGGTCACTGTACTCAGAGCCAAGCTCATAAAAACCACATTCAGCTTCCATTTCATCTTCCAGCCTTTCACCATCTTGTGATGAGCAGTGCCTGCCACCACAGCCATCTCATCTAGTCACTTTCCATCTCGAAACGCAGTGAAGCTTCTCTTCTCTGATCTCCCTACACTGAAGCAAATTATTCTCATTCTTGTTGGTAGTGGAAAGTGAATTAAATTGAAGTCTGAAGTGCAGTTGCCTGTAGATGTGACTCTGGGTTTTTTCACAAAGCGATGTCATCAGCCAACAGCTAACATCTTTCTTTCTGGTTTTGTTTGCAATTTGCCTACACATGGCACTAAACAAGAGACCAGAAAGAGAGAGAGATATGCAGAAGCTGACAATAAGAAACAGATCATTGACAACACTATTTGCAAGTCCCTTTTCTTATCTGCCTCTCTTTATCTGAAAGGAAAGGGACGACAACTGCATTAGTAGACAGTTGCACCTTGGCCAGATAATCTGGAGGCAGGCTTCCATCCTGCCTTCTGGAGTAGAAATGGGGAGTTCATTGGAGATAAAGAACAATTCCTGGGACAGGTTTTATTCCAGACCGTACATGCCACTGGAATGAATGTAAAAGGGTAGTTAGGGGCCTGTAATATCAACGGCCATTTATGTTCCAGAAGCCATAAGATGTTTACATTATTTTTAAAAAAATCAACCACAGGTGATTACTTCAGACTCTGAAGTAGCTGTTGGGTAATGCATGGGGGGAACACTACCCTGAGAGTAAAGAATCCTTTACTAAAGCTGATTCAACCCCCAAGGACCTGTGGGGTACTGCCTAGACCCTTCACTATAATCAGCACAGTTCCTTTGTACAACGAAATGGGTTTGTACATTTTATTCTGAGGATCACAAAGTAGACATACTCTGGAGTCACTTTAAGACTTAAATGCACAGGTACTTACTAGTATCTGTCATTTTTATTCTCAATAATTAGAGAATGATTAATCAGTTGAGACTGGAGCTTTCCAGTTATTTTCCTTTCCTCTTGCAGCTTACTTTTGGGTCATTTCAGCTTTCCCTGATTATAGCAAACACACACCCACACACACACACGGCAGAGGAAGTTATAAATACAGGAACTTAAGTCCATCTAACTTCTTAGTAATAACTCTGGTAAAGGGCTTCAGGGCAAAGAACTGAAACCCATGATTACAATGAGATTTGGAGATTAAGATTTTGACAAGGTTTAGAAACATACTGTTTCATTTATTTTATGTGTTCCATTGCAATCGATGGCAGATAATGGCTATAACATAAATGAGAGTTTGAGGTAGGAGATGCATAATTCCTAAATACATTGAGAGATTTGTATGCATAACCTTGATTTCCAAATTTGATACAGGACTTAAAAACTAATTATCATTCATGAAGCACCAGCTAAGCTTATGGCTTATGGTAGTAGATGGAATACTTTTTATATTTATCAGGACAAGGCTTCTCCTGGAAGCTTAGACTAGTCTAAACTCTCCCAGTAATTAAAGAAACATTATCATTATTGTTATCCTAATTAGCCTCAATGTATATTATAGAGTACACAAGCAAATACCCCATTTGTGGGAAGGAGAAGGACCTAACATAGTTACTGTGTGTCTGGCACTTTGCCCAGCTCATTGCATGTTTTATGTTATTTAATTCTTAAAAAAAGCAGTAACATCTAGAGTGCCAAAAATGTATCATCTTCCTTGAATGTTAATGGGAAGGTCATTGTTCTTCACCACACTTTTTCTTTTCCTTTCTCCCATTCCTTTGTTTGTATCTTTCTAAGTTCCTTTCTTCCTTCTCCTTTCCTGGAGCCTTTGGTCTTTTTCTTCTCTCCCCTTCCCTGGGTTGCTTTTCTGCAGTTCTCAGTAGGCCACAGGCTCCTGTCGGTGTCCTTTAGTTCCAGTGGTAACTTTTATAGCTAACACTGTTTCAGGCTGCTGGCAGAAGTCAAATCACATTTGGCAAAATATATGTTATATATCTGGAAACTGGGTTATACTCACTCTAGAGCAATTAACTAAATAATTGTTCTGGCATAAAGACAGCCTTGTACTATTCTTGTAACAAAATAGATAATTTTAACTAGAGCTCCACCTAATACTTCTAGGGAGTGCTAAAAAACCTGGCCCATACTTGATTCAGATCAATTAAATGGCTCTGAAGCATTTTCATTTTATTTTTCAGGAATTGTACAGGCCTTAATCACTGTTTTTGAACTGGGAGTCCTTGGTCGCTCATGAAATAAAAAAACAAATGCTCTTTGAATTAAGCAAATTATACAATGGAGAAAGGAAAACCTTTACCATCTCTTCATCCTCTAATTTTTCTTTCTTTTTTTTTTTTTATGGCTAAGGCATTTTCCCAGCTTGTTCAATACATCAGATCAGTCACTGAAAAAAGGTAAGTTCCTTGTTCTAAGATGTGACATTAGAAAGAATTTTGCAAAGGAGAGGAAAAGGATGTTTCCGGTCTGGTATTGGTGTCATTTACATCACTGTCTCATCCGCCACCTGCTCTGACTATTGGCTGGGTAGTTAAGAGACCCAAACCTGTGTGCTCACCGTTGTGTGGTTCTGCTGTTCCACAAACAGGGAAAATGAGAAGGTATTGCTGTCTTGCTCCTAGGTGTTTATAATGTTATTGGGGAGTTCAGAGGATCCTATACACATAGTAAGAACAAGTTCTGCAGGAGACCTGGGGATAACCTGTGTTGTTATTGTTATCCTTTAATGTCCAGATACTGTTTGGAGAAAACAAACAAGAAAAAAACCTGAAGAGCTATTGAAGATTTTTTTTTTTTTTTGAAAGGTTTGGAGCTGAAGATGAGTCCCAGAGAAAGTGATTCAGAAAGAATAGAGTGTCTCTAGCAAGGAATCTTTTTTCCTTTTTCCTCTTTACTCACCTCCTCCTTTGCTGTGAGGTGGAGTAGAGATGCCTTTATCCAGTAGTACTTTGGAACCTGAGGCCATTAGTTTGGATTGTTTGTTTCTACCTAGTGCCGAGAAATCTCCCTAAGTCTCCGTCCATCATCTGTTAAAGGGGGATGATAATAGCCCTTATCTCTGGGGGGAGGTCTCAGAGGATTCTTTGTGATGCTCTTCATTCACAATATACGTGTGTTCTCAGCAGTTAATTCTAGGATCTCTGCTAGACTTGGGAAATATAGAGGTAAGCATATCAGATACGTTTTTGTTCTCAAGGAGCTCAGGATGCAGCAGAGAGGATAAATACAATTATATAAAATTCTCTGCACAGTTCTGGACTCATAGCAAGACTTTAGTGAGTACTGGGCATGTCAGCAGCTTTCAATAATCATAGCTCCTAGTGGGGAAATTTAAAATTGAAGAAATAGCCTCAACCTTTCTGCCAATGCAGTTGGCCCAGCCTGTAGTGTTATGCAATTCAATATTGTATATTGTCATTAGACCTTCTTAAAAGCTTCCCAGTATTGAGCACTGTTATATACTGATGTTTTATGTATGCAGTAATATGTTAGGCTGAACTATACCTCCTTCAATAGGAATTCTGCCTTTATATTTGTATGATCAGTGGCAAGAAACTGTACAGCATAAAGGGGTACCTCATCTTTGAAACTGAGATACCTATTATTTCCCTGACCTTCATTGTGAATNCTCCTTCAATAGGAATTCTGCCTTTATATTTGTATGATCAGTGGCAAGAAACTGTACAGCATAAAGGGGTACCTCATCTTTGAAACTGAGATACCAATTATTTTCCTGACCTTCATTGTGAATAAAATGTACTCAGTCATCCAACCCTTTGGCGCTCAAAGATGTACTGCTATGCAAATGGCACCTGGGGACATACCTCAATCCAGTATCTACTTAGTCTTACACAGTTTCATCTTTTCTGTGTGTCTTTTGTCTCCTTTTCCCACAAGTTTCTGATGCCTACTGTCACAGATTCCTGAGAAGCAGGAATAGGAATCTGATACAGAGATTGTGTGCATGAAGTTTATTGGAGAGGGTGCAGGGATCACACCTAAGCCAGAGACAAGACAGGGAAAGTAGACGTGGGCAGAGGGAGAGCTTGGGCTGTGCAGTGGTCACTGAAATAAATCCTAAGCCAGCCCAGTGGGAGCTTTGGACCTGGAAGATTCCTTCAGAACTGTCATGAACTAAGGCAATGTTGTGAGGCCTTTGTATCCCCGTGTTGATCAAACATTGGATGAGGGCTATCCAGGGAATAGGGCATGGCTTTGGGTGAGGTGGCGGTCTTCAGCCAAGGTAACTTCCTAAGAGGGCTGGCAGTGCCAGTCCCTTCCTTCTAAAGGATCCGGATGTTGCATCACAACATCCACTACATATATACTCTTCCCTAAAAGATAAATTTAGGATAGAATCCAAAGTGATTTATTTGTAATTTTTATGTTCTACCATGAGATTCCCAATGCTTCCCTAGAATGATTATGAAACTGGTATTCGGACACACGTAAATCTTCCAAGAGTCTCCTTTACAAGAGAAAATTGACACAATGGATCCTCTGAAATACAGAGCTATTGAGGTTGGAGAAGAGACTGAGTGTTTTCCAGGTAATGAGCCCACCTTTATGACGAGTCCTTTCCTCCCATTCAGTTATATATATTTTCTCACCTATTTGGTCATATATGATAGATCTGAAACTTTTGCTCTTTTATGAACTTTCTTGGGTCCTGAGTCAGCATTCTCATGAAAATGTTATAGTCAAATTAGGTAGTTGCCTATCATTTACTGCCTTCCTTATTTCATGTATATTCTTCTTAATCTTATTTACATTAGCAAATAAATAGCTCCTAGAGAGCAAAATGATACTTTTATTTCCATCAAGCACTATGATCACTGGTTCAACCATATCATAATCATGATGCATTGCTATACTAGCTAAGCTAATGAGTCCTCAAAACAGTGCAATAAAGTCACAAATGAGAGTTTATTCAATTTTCAGTAATTGTGAGTTAAATCTCCCAGAAATGAGTAAAATATAAGCCTTCTGAGTTTGTGATTATTTTCTTTTGTTACTTTATATCTGATATATTTTAATTCCAATTCAGAAATGGTGAGATCTTACATTGCTTAAAAATTTGTCCTTTAATGTTTTTATGCTTTTTAAATGTAAAAGAGCTATAAGGTAATACAGTGGGGGGAAAGTAAATTACACATAAAAAATTCATTTCAATGCTAATGAAGTGTGCTTTTGGAGAGACAGAATAGATAATACTTAAATTTATTTCCTTTGAGAAAAGGTGATTGTTAAAAATATGAGCATGAACTTTCTAGTCAGTTACATTTTTCTATTCATGTCTTAAAGGAAATGTTTTGTTTGAAATTACTAGGAAAAATTCCACAGACAAAACAAAATATATTAATGACTGGTGACAGATTTAAAACTCTCCATTTCTTATTTTCTATAGTTAAACCTAGGAGTATTGCTTTCAAACTTTTTAAAGAATTAGAATATTTTTTACTCTGTAATACAGGTTGAAAACAAAATATCCATTTTATTTTAATAAGCAAGGATTCCTACTTTATCCCTTCAACTAGTATTCTTTTTATTGGTTCATCTCTGTACTTAAAGCAAATTTATTATGAAAAATTTCAAACATATATAGAAGTGTAAAGGATAAGATTATAAAACTTCTCTATGTATCTATCACTAGTTTCTTCAATTATCAAATTTAATCTTGTTTTGTCTACACTACCCACTCTCTCTACCTTCATCCAGATTAGTTTGTGTGTGTGTGAAAGTTGCTCAGTCGTATGCAACTCTTTGTGACCCCATGGACTATACAGTCCATGGAATTCTCCAGGCCAGAATACTGAAGTGGGTAGTCTTTCCCTTCTCCAGGGGATCTTCCCAACCCAGGGATCCAATCCAGGTCTCCCTCATTGCAGGCAGATTCTTTACCAGTTGAGCCACAAGGGAAGCCCAAGAATACTGGAGTGGATAGCCTATCCCTTCTCCAGCGAATCCTCCTGATCCAGGAATCCAACTGGGGTCTCTTGCATTGCAGGCGGATTCTTTACCAGCTGAGCTACCAGGGAAGCCAGATTACTTTCAAGTTATATAATTTCTCTGTAAATATTTCAATATGTGCCTTCATAGGTTAAGGACTCTTAAAACACAGAATTATAGGCCTCCTATTANAAGGGACTCTCAAGAGTCTTCTCCAACACCACAGTTCAAAAGCATCAAATCTTCGGCGCTCAGCTTCCTTTATAGTCCAACTCTCACATCCATACTTGACTACTGGAAAAAACATAGCCTTGACTAGATGGACCTGTGTTGACAAAGTAATGTCTCTGCTTTTTAATATGCTGTCTAGGTTGGTCACAACTTTCCTTCCAAGGAGTAAGCGTCTTATAATTTCATGGCCACAATCACCATCTGCAGTGATTTGGGGGTACTACTATAAAGAAATACTACTCTAAAGGGCTGTTCAAGTGTAAGGGGATGTGGATACACCTGTGGCTAATTCATGTTGATGTTTGCTAGAAACCAACACAATACTATAAAACAATTATCCTTCAATTAAAAATAAATAAATAAAAAGAAATACTTCTGCTTATCAACTATTTAAGTATCTTAAGATACAATTTGCATACAGGCTCAGTTTGCATGATTCTTTATTTATTAGTACAAAGCAACAATAGGGTCCCAACATCCTCTAGATATAACCAGTAAATTTTATTATCTACTACATTCTATATATTTTCAATGTGTTAATCCATTGAAGTTGTTTTATGTATTGATGTTTAATTGTCCTATCTTTAGCCAATGAAAGCCTCTTTAGGTTAGTCTGTAAGTCCTTTGGACTCTTCTGTAATATTCTTTTGCAGCTTCCTAGTTTTCTGTTATGATAAAAAGTGCTAGTTTCTTTTTATACATTTTATGTTACAAACATCAAAATCTCCAGAATTTCAGGAAAAAGTATTAAAAGTAACAATTTGGGTGCTAGGGTTAGGGGTTGTTTGCTTACTGTTAAAGATTATTACTTTTGGTTTGATCCTTGAATCTGGGTTTTTCCAGTGAACAGAACTTTTCTTGTCTTAATAAATTGCATCATGAATTCCTATTGATACATTCCACTCACTTTTAAGATTATAGAATTTTTATTTAACTGTATTGATCTTATATATATATATCTCATTTGTCTCATGCTGGAAACCTCAGTTCTCAAAGAAATCAATATAATCATTCAGTTGCTTTATTCTCTCATACACACACACAATGAACTCAATAAAATAAAAACAGGGCCATGGGCATTATGCTTAATACAGTTAAAAATCTTTTTCCAATTTTATTTGTACTTAGGTTATGTCTCACCTCACATGTGGTAAAAGTTTCTGTGTTTCAAAGTCACTTAAAATAGTCCTGTTTTCCTACAAACTCAGAATATAGTTGGGTTTATTTGCTTTACTGCAGCTTTTTATAATTGGCCTTTAAATTTTTTTATGTATGTTTTCATTGTTCCAATATCAAGTCTATAAATAAACTATGTGCAGAGAATCAAGTTCTGTCTCTGGCTTCCCGACCTCAAGCCTTGTAACTCCTGTATAGGTAAAATGAAAAATTTTTAACTGATCCTTCCATCAAAACCCCTCCTTTTTTCTTTTTCTTTTTCTTGGCACTTAGAAAGGTTTGCATTTTTACTTTAATGATTATTTTATACAAATATGTTTATGTAATAACCACAGTCCCTTTCTAGATGTTGTCCTACTATGAATGCAACTGAAAGTAGCCAATGACCTATACCTCTTTCCCCCTTCTCTCCCAGAATTTTATGTAAAGCATTATTCTTTCTCAGTTAATAACATAATGATTATTTTGATCTATTTTTAATATATTCTTTCCATTCTTCACCTCTTTTGCTAAATGTATATAAAGATGTGTAGCCTTTACATACTATGTTTTCTCTACTATAAACATCATTTAGCTTTAATTTTTTCAGGCACATATTCATTTAACATTCATTGCTAGTCCTAATGTTTTCACTCCATTTATTTTGATTTTCAAAAGCCTATTCTTAGAAAATGCCTGAAGAAGGGTTTATAGGCATTATATTCTTAGAACTCTTGAATTTTCATAACATTTTGTCATGGCTTTTATACTTGAAATCATTTATGCTTAATATTAAATCACTGGCTCACATTTACACGCCGTTTCTTTGTTTTACTAAATTCTGCCATGTTTCTTTTTTACTAAACTGTTTTCTGTCATAAAATGTTGCTTTAGACAATTTAATAGTCTCATATTCTTTATTAGTAACTTAGTACTTTTCCCTGTCTATCCATGGACTCCATTTTCTTTTAAGGTTAATCATACTGTTAGTGTATTTTTCTGTGCTGGCTCTTCTTGTTATAATTCCAAGTTGCTGCTTATTTTAAAGCTTATCAAGTTGAGTATTTTAGTATTCTATTCCATGTAGTTTTTTTCTCTTTTCTTGTGTGTGTGTGTGTGTGTGTAGGATCTTTACTTTCACTTTTTCTATTTCTATCACTGTCTCTTGAATCTTATATCTTCATTTTTCAATTTTAAAGTTTTCTCCTTCCCATATGATATCTCTCTTAATTTATTATCCCTGGTACTTCTTCACTCGTGTTCTCCCATTTATTTTTGAAATACTTTTCCTTTTTATTTCCAGATATTTTCTATATTTTTCCAGCAATCTTTTCAAGTCTTTAGTCATCTAAATTCTGAGTGTTTGTACATCAATTATGTCATTATTTCATCATTTCTTCAATTTCTTGCAAATTCTTTTGATGTAGTATTATAATTCTAGACTTTTCAGGAGTATCTTTCTGATATGCATTCATTTGTTTATAGACCATTGTCTGTACCCTAGTTTCTAATTGAAGTAAAGTCATTTTACAATGCTGTATTTCAGGTGTACAGCATAGTGATCTGTGCCTTATTTTATTTTTTTGGCCTTATTTTTTAAACATATTTTGGGTGAGGTTTTATCATAAACCTTTCGCTATTCATGTTTAAATGGGATTGTTTTTCCTGTATTTTTGTTAGAAGATGGGCCTGGATAGCTTCCGTCATTTCAGATCTGAGGAACTGCTTCTGCTGCTTTCCAGTGTTCAACATGATGGCCTGTGCTTTCTGTGATATGAAAACCCTCCTCCTCACCTCTGCTTTTATCAGAACCGTTTCTTGGTCTCTCTGTCCCTCTCTTGTTCAGCTTGCTTCCTATTTCCCGTAGTTTCTTCTCAGCGCCGACCTCTCGTTCTAGAAGAGAGCTTCAGCTAGTTAGAGTCCAGAGTTTAAAAGACCCAGACCGCCCCCCCACCACCTGACATTATTGTGGCGCTGTGCCACTAACCTGTCGATCGGGGCCGTAAACCTCCCTGCCATCTTTGGCTCCCTCTCTCAGATTGGCCTGTTGAGAATTCTGGTTAGCACTGCTGGTTTTCTGGGCCTTAATGTTGTTGGAAGTCTTTTTTTTCTCCTGTTTCCTCCTCTAAATTGCAGATTCCACCTGAGTCTTATTGTTATTGGTGCTGTGTATCTCCCAGTTTGAATTTTCAGGTTTGGGGGTCACCT